TATCCTTTCTGCTCTCCCTGGATGGTGAGGCTTTCCATAGGGTGTCATCAGAGTCTGTCATATCCTTTGGGATAGGGCCTAGGCCCACCCCTGTGTGTCTTGGCTCAGGGAGTATTCCTCTATGTGGACTGGACTCCCAAAGTCCACACCTATGCTAGGGATAAGGACTGAACCACTACAGGAGGCCCTGTAGATTTCCGAGGTTTCCTCACTGAAACCCATGTTCCTCGGGTCTGAATCAGTCCCATGCTGGTATCCCACCTATCAGTCTGGGGAGCAAGAGTTCCCCGATGTTCTGGTCAGCTATTAGGTGTTTTTTGTCTTTTGGTTTATTTATATGGTGGATTACATTGATCTAATTACATATGGTGAACCATCCCTGCATCTCTGGGATGAAGCCTACTTGATCGTGGTGGATAATCTTTTTTATTGTGCTTGCATTTAGCTTACAAGTATTTTATTGAAAAGTTTTGCATCTATATTATTAAGGGAAGTTGGTCTGTAATTTTGTTGGATTTTTATGTGGTTTGGTATCTGGATAACTATGGCCTTATTAAACTAATTGTGTAATGTTCCTTCTCTTTCTATTTTGTAGAAATTTTTGAGGAATATTAACATCAACTCTTCTTTGAAAGTCTGGTTAAATCTGCACTAAAACCATCCAGACCTGCTTTGTTTTGTTTTTTTCCGAGTATGTGGGGGTGGGGGTGGGGTGGCAATTTTAAGGGCTACTTCCATTACACTAGGGGTTATTGGTCGTACTAAATTGTTTATCTGGTCTTTATTAAACTTTTGAAAGTATTATTTATCAAGAAAAATTATCCATTTCTTTTAGATTTTCTAATTTGGTGGAGTGCAAATTTTTTAAAGTATGTTCTTATGACTCTCTTGTGTTCCTAAGAATATGTTACCGTGTTCCAAATTTTTTAAAGTATGTTCTTATGACTCTCTTGTGTTCCTAAGAATATATTACCGTGTTCTTTTCATTTCTAATTTTGTTAATTTACATTTTCTCTCTACCTTTTACTTAATTCGGATAATGACTCATCAATCTTATTTTTATCAAAAAGACAGCTCTTTGTTTCACTGATTCTTTGTGTTTGTTTTGTTTCTATTTTATTGATTTCAGCCTTGAACTTGATTATTTCTTGCTGTCTACTCTTGGGTGTGATTTCTTCATTTTGTTCTAGAATTTTCAAATGTGCTGTTAAGTTGGTAGTATGAAATCTCTCCAGTTTTTTATGTAGGCACTTAGGGCTATGAACTTTACTCTTAGCACCACCATTGTGTGCCATAAGTTTAGGTATGCTGTGTATCCATTTTTATTGAATTCTAGAAAGACAACATCTAAAAAAGACTTTCTTGACCCATTTGTCATTCACTAGTGAGTTTTTCAGTATCCATGCGTTTATAAGTTTTCTGTTGTTGTTAATATCCAGCTTTATTCTTTGGTGGTCAGATAGGATGTAAGATGTTACTTCAATTTTCCTTGCATCCGTTGAGACTTGGTTTGTGTCCAAATATGTGGTTAACTTGGGAGAAAGTTTCAAGCAGTACTGGAAGGTATGTTCTTTTGTGTTTGTGTGAAATGTTTTTGTAAATATCTATTAGGTTCATTAGGTTTATAATATCAGTTAGCTCCAGCATTTCTCTGTTTAGTTTTTGTCTAGATGATCTGTTTATTGTCAGGAGTGGAGTATTGAAGTCCCGCACCATCAGTGTGTGATTTAAGCTGTCATTGTGTTTCTTTTATCTATTTTGGGCATAGACATTAAGAATTCCAGGGCCTTTTTAATGATTTTTCCTTTTATGAGCATGTAGTGTCTTCCCTATTTCTTCTGATTAGTTTTGGTTTGAAGTCTGTTTTGTCAGATACCAGCTTGCTTCTTAGGTTCATTTGGTTGGGATATCTTTTTTCCTTCTTTTTACCTTAAGATGATGTCTACCCTTGCTGTTAAAATGTGTTTCTTGGATGCAGCAGAAGGATAACATCTTATTTTTTTTTACATCCATTCTGTTAATCTGTGTCTTTTATTGGGGAATTGAGACCATTAATATTGAGCGAGATCAAGGAACAGTGTTTGTTGTTTCCTGCTATTTAAGTTTTTTGTGTGTGTGTGTGTGTGTGTGTGTGTGTGTGTGTGTGTGTGTGTGTACTTCCCCTCTTTTGATTTACTTGTCTGGGATTATTCATTCTTTGTGTTTTCTTGGATATAGTTAACTACTTTAGTTCATAATTTTCCTTATGGAATATCTTATTTTCTCCACATATTGATTGACCAATTCACTGGGTATAGTAGTCTGGGCTGGCATCTGTGGTTTCTTAGCATCTGTAGTACATCTGTCTAGGCCCTTCTGGCTTTTAGAGTCTCCACTGAGGAGTCAGATATAATTCTAATAGGTGTGCATTTATTTGTTTCTTAGTCTTTTCTCCCTTGCAGTCTTTAATAGTCTTCATTTGTTTTATACATTTAGTGTTTTGGTTATTTTGTGCTGAGGGGAATTTTTTTTCGGGTCCAGTCTATTTGGTGTTCTGTATGCTTATTGTACCTTGATAGACATCTCCTTCTTTAGGTTAGGGAAATTTCCTCTATGATTTTGTAAAAAATATTTTTGTGCCTTTGACCTGTGTTTCTTGGCTGTTTCCTAGATGGTCCCAGGTTCTGTGCCAGGAGATTTTTAGACTTGACGTTTTCCTTGACTGAGGTATTTACTTCTCCTATCATGTCTTCAATGCCTGAGATTCTCTCTTCCATGTCTTGTATTCTGTTAGTGAGGTTTGCCTCTGATGTTCCTGTTCAAGTTCCTAAATTTTTCATTTCCATATTTTCCTCAGCTTGGGTTTTCTTTTTGATTCTATTTCTACTTTCAGGTCTTGAACTGTTTATTCATTTTCTCCCACTGTTTTGTGTTTTCATAGATTTCTTTAAGGGATTTATTAATTTCCTCTTTAAGGACTTCTATCATATCCATAAAAGCTATTTTAGGGTATTTTTCCTTACGCTTCAGCTATGTGACAATACACAGGGCCTGCTCTAGTGGAGACATATTGTCCTGGCTATATCTATTGTGTTTTTATGCTGGCATCTAGGCATCTGAGTTTGGGAAGATACTAATTCTAGTTGCTAAAATCTGGGCTTGTCTTTGTTAGGTGGGTGTTTTGTTCCTGGGTTTCTGTTGTCCTCTCTGGTTCTCAGTAGAGTGTGGTAGCTGTGTGTTGCCTGTGTGATCCCTTCCAGGATCCTAATAGGTGTGACCATTGAGGTTTCCAGGTAAAATGTGTTCCTAAGTATTTGGAATTGACACTTAGGAAATAAGATGGTCTAGGGAGGGTTGAGAGGGGTCCACAGGAGGGAGGAAAGCAGGGTGTTCTATTGGAGGCATGTAGGTCCTTGTACTCACAGATAAGCATTAGGGGAACCAGGAATGCTAAACATTCAGGGCTGTCTCTTCAAAGAGAGAAGTGTATGACCTGTTTTCTACCTGGTTAATAGCCTGATGATTTTTTCAATGTCTGTGTGGCCCAAGACCATACCAGGTCTGTAGGGAGAGACCCTGGATACCAAACAGGTGTGGTCACAGGTACGGAGATGGGTAGGATAAAGAGAAAGGACAGGAGGCTCTCACTCTCTTGCGTCTCAGGCCAGGTCTTGGAAGCATCTGGGACCAGACTTCTTGTAGTACCAAATTTGGTTACTGAGTCCTCGTGTGAGTATATCTTCTTAATAAATTACCAGTTAATAACCTATCTCAGGTTCAATCTTGTTCTCCATCACCTGGTGTCAGAAGTGGGATGCAGGTACAGGTTTCAGGGTCTCTCCCTACACAGGTCTTCCTACAGACCCTTAGCTTGAGCTCGGTTTCTCAATCTATAGAACCTGTATTTATGAAAGATATCACCAGTACTTTACAAATAGTTTCAATTGTAGTCATGTCTCCAGCTTTGTTGTACACATGGGATTGAGTTATTATCACCTGGAAACTTTTTATCAAAATGCCTGTGTTTAAAACATACCTAAAATAAACTATTTGATGTCAGACTCTCAATGTTTGAAACAACACTGGCTACTGAGTCTTGTTAAACTGAACTACCTTCATGTCTCTGAGATTGTTTCCACAGTGTTCCACTAGGGTCTTCTTAGTCCCCTGAGAATGGTGGCAGAGAGTAAGGAGAGGTCAGAACAGCTAGCTTGCTACACAGCTGGAGATGAAACTAGGAAATTGGATATGGAGGAGAGGATGGAGAGTGAAGATCTAAAGCTTGCCTACTGTCTTTGCTAGCCTTGCCTCTCTGGCAGGCTTGGCTGGCAGGTTCCCAGAGAAATCCTGATGGACTTGTGGGCTAGGATAACAGATGAATGAGGAAGAAGGTTAGAGGAGAAGGTCTATATGATCCACTAGAGATGGGGGCAGAGAAGTGGGGGGGGCAAAGCAGGTGTTCTTCTGCTGAGATAATGTGAGACTGGGAGATTGGATTTGGAGGAGAGGAGGGAGTTCTGGAGAGCTGCAGTTAGGCTACCTGCTTTCCTGGCCAGAGTGGCCTGAAGGTTCCCAGGGAATGCCTGCTAGAGTTGGGGTCTGGGATAAAGTAATGATTTAGGGGAGTGGATAGAGTGGAAGATCTGTGTGATCCACTGGAGATGGGAGGAGAGGGAGTCTGTAGTAGGTCATCTGCTGAAGAGCTGGGGATGAGCCTGATAGATTAGATTTGGAGGACTGGAGAGAAAGATCTGCAGTTAGTCTATATGCTTCTCTGGCCAGAGTGGTCTGTGAGTTCCCAGGGAATGCCTGATGAGTTGGGGGCTGGGATAAAGCTAAGAGTGTACTGTTGACTTTCAGGAAGTGCTTCCATTTGGCTCTAGCTTTAGAAAGCTGATCTGTAGATTTTAGAAATATGTCTGGTACTGATACTTTACAATCGATAGACACAGCCAACAGACCATGGGAATCCAGGAAATGACTTTGAATAAAAAATAACTGGGTCTCTCTTTCTCTTCTAGGACAATCCGTTTTTTGATCTGCACTTCAAGAAAGTGTACAGCTTGGAGGCCTACAGTTGTGCCTCTAAGTACTCCTTTGCTCGAACAGTGAACAGGCTGAACCATGTGTATCTTAAGAAGGACTTACACATCGTGAACTTTGATTCGACTTACATTAATGATGACTCCATTTGGTCCTCCAACAACAAGGACTGCCTGGTCCTCATGAGAATATGCTTTTATGCTTTCAATCTTGTGTGCTTGTCCCTGTGTCCCCTGCCACTTTGAAGATGTAGCCTGAAGTCCTTCTTCAGTGTCTGAAGAAAATGGCTCTCCAACTGAATACTGGTAATCAAAAGTTTGTTATGCCTCTTCCTTGATGGCTATTATTTATACTAAAATAAAAGAGGCTTTGTAAATTGCAGTGAAATGTGTTTTAGTGCAATTGTTCAATAGTTGGACTCTTTGGGTCCATTGTGTTCCACAGAAACTTAGGAAGGTGTTGCATCGTTTGAGCTAAGTTAGAATCAAGAAAAAACTTGAAAAGAGAGCCTAGGTTCACAAATAAGATTTTATCTTTTGAAGATATCAGTATTGTTCAACACATTCTTCAGATCCAAGATAATTCCTCTAAAATTCTAGTGGCCTATATAGTAGAAATGGAAAAGCCAATCCTCAAAATTCATACAGAACCTCAAAAGGTTCCTGGTAGCAACAACAAACAAACAAAACCTTGAAAAATAAGAACAATGATGGAGGACTCATGATATCTGCTTTTGAATATCACTACAAAACTATTATAATTAAAACAGCATGGTATTAGCATAAGGATAGTCCCAGAACACAAAGCTACCGAGTTCATCCAAGGGAAAAGGAATAATCTCTTCAACTGATGAGGCTGGGATAACTGGATATCCACACAAAAGAACTGAGTTAGACACATACCTCACACCAGCTATAAAAATTTAAATGAATTAGCCTAAACATAGTAACTAAATTCATAAATTATTAAAATGAAATAAAAGGGAAATATTAAGGACTTTGGGATTGACACTAGATTCTTATAATGTCAAAAGAAAGTTAACTAGATCAGACTTCATGTAAGGATCTCTGCACAAAAGGACATTATCAAGAAATTGAAAACAAGCCTTGGAGGAAAGAACATATCTTCAAATCATCTGTCTGAAAAAGACTTAAAATCCAGATATACAAAGAGCTCAGTGACACAAAACAACCCGGTTTAAAAATAAGCAAAGGACATTGACAGGTATATCTGCAAATACACATATAATCAACAAGCATGAGAAAGATAGATGTTCACTGTCTTTGGGGAAATGCAAATCAAAGCCCAAGCATCAAGTCAGATCTGCCTTCACATCTGTTAGGAAGATTATGTCTTTATGAAATGAAAAATGGTGAAAGTTATTGAGGGTATGGAGCAATTGGAGCCTTCTTCCATTGCTAGTGGAGATGAAGATGTCATGGCCATGTAAGAAATGGGTTTGGTGATACACTGGAGCAACATACTCCCAGTGTACACAAACTGGCCCCAGGGAGTCATGGCACCAAAGGAAAAAGTGCTGACAGATTCAGGATTGCACAGAGTACAACCTACTGGAGATTTACTAACAGAAATGTAGGACAGGATACCATTTGGATCCTTGCAATTTGGGTGAGGCAAAAGTGAATTCAAAGTTGCAAATTCAATTAAGCTGGACTGTACCTTGTTTAGTCACACTAGCACTAAAGGGTCCCTTAAAGTACTGATATTGATGACCTCATAATTCTGGGGTCAGTTGTAAACCACACATTACTCTAATAATTTGCTTATTTTAACTTTCTGGGAAGCAAGGAGAGAAACTGAGTAGTGTTGTTCAAAGGCAGCCAGAGAATGTGTGATTCAGCACGGCTTGTTCTGTACAGCAGTTCCTAAGAAGTAAAGCTACCAAATGACTCAGCATTTCCTTCAGAGATGCAGACCCAAGTGAATTCAAAACAGTGACTTGAATAAATAGTTGTATACCAATGTATAATCTATTGTGTTGGCTTATAATTGTGTTTGCAGCATTCTTCATAATACCAAAAGAAGAAAACATCATGTGCCCATCAAAAGATTAATAAACCCAGAAAATATGGTATAGCCAAGTAATGGAATATTATTCAGCCTTTAAAGAAATAAAATTTTTGATGCATGCTGCAATGTAAGTAAACTTTGAAAACATTATGCTAAGTTAAATAATGCACAAATGAAAGGCCAGTTATTGCATAGTTTGACTTTATGAAATACTTGGAGTAGATAAATTCAGAGACAGAATAGAGGAAAAGCTAAGAGACTGGAGAAGAGAACAGAGGCATTTCTTAATAGTTACACAGTTTCTGTGATGCACAACATTTAGAAGTGGAAATCATTGTACAAAATGATGAATGTGACTAATACTACCTTCTTGTAAATTTAAAATGGTTAAAATAGTCAATATAATGTTATATATTGAACATAAGTAAAATAATGTGAGAAATAAACAGCATATACTACATACTTTAAATGGATAGGTTATATGATAAATGAACTATACAATAATTGACATATAAAAGGGAAAAAAAGAATATCCTTGAGTCTACTAGAAGGAAAATATGTGAACTTGTGACAAACTAAGAGTGGGGGTAACATTCCTTGATGCCACTCAAAATCCAGAAACATGGTAAATAATATTAACTATATTAAATACATATAAAATCCTACAGACAAAGCCAAAAACAAATTGCAAGCTGGGAAAAGTTGCAAATTGTGTAAAAGCTTGAATATATGTACTCCTAAAGTTGAGAAGTTAAGAGAAGGCCAACAACCAATTGAAAAATACATGAGCAGACAGTTCACAGGAAAGGAAATACAAATGACACTGGAAAGCTTGAAGAAACACTGAACCTTGTCTGGAAGAGAAACTGGCATTGTTTCTGTGAGATGAGCTCATTGCTTGTCTTATAGGGAAAAGCCCAAAATATTGATAGTATTTCATTGACATGGAAAATAAACAAGTCCTTCTGTTTATTACTGCATGAGAAAGTTGAGATTCTTTTTCAAATTGTGTGTGTGTGTGTGTGTGTGTGTGTGAGTGTATAAAATGAAACAGTGCAAGGGGGAAATAGGGAAGACTTCAGCACACCCTGATTGGGGTGGGGGTAGACACTCTGAGGTTGGGGTAGATAATTAAAAGCAGGGGATCTTATGTGGTTGCTTAAGAATATGTATTTGGGTTCTTCAGTTTGGCCCTAAGTTTTAAGGAAGAGTCAATATATAGGAAAGCCATTAATTAATAAGTCCTGGCCATTTGGGGCCCATTGCTCCAGGGGTTTTTGGCTAGGTGCCTGAACTACATACTATACATGTGGTAACTTATGGACTAGATACTGTATTTATGTCTTTAATCTCAGCACTCGGGAGACAGAGGCAGGTGGATCTGTGTGAGTTTGAGACCAGCCTGGTCTACAGAGCAAGTGCCAGGACAGGCTCAAAGCTACACAGAGAAACCCTGTCTCGACAAACCAAAAAAGAATAATAAGGCAGTAAAAACATAACATAACTCACCATCTGAGCAGATACAGATACACAAATGATGCCTATTGTTTTAAATTTCCAGACCAGGAAAATGAGGATCAGAAGGGTCAAGTAAATTCCCTGGTGGCCACTGACTCAGTAAAGGTTAAAACCAAAACTAAACCCACATCTGTGTGATTTCACCAACCACGGGGTTTCTGCTACTTTATGTCCACTACCTGTCACCAGCTAAGAATGGTCTATCTTTGTATAATTTAAATGTCACTTTCTAGAAAAGTACTTTTTTTGGGGGGGGGGGAGTTTCTAGACAGGGTTTCTCTGTATTGCTTTGGAGCCTGCCCTGGAACTCTATCTGTAGAAAAGTCCTTTCTATTCTTAAAATGTGGGTCACTGAGTTTATGTGAGAACACATTCTCCAGCTGAATAATACACAAACAAATCATAATTTAATACCTCTTGGGATAACATAGGAATATAAGCTTAAAGCATTTAACATACTTAGCATGAAATCTGATTTCCAATAAAAACTAATTGGCAAATTCACGGATTCGGTTATATTTATGTTGGCCTGTTTACATCTCTAGAGGTGGGGGCTGGGTTTGCCAGTGGCATCATTCCCGATTGTCCCATGTGCAGATTAGTTCTGCTGTACCCTGTGTCTGACCCAACTGTGTCTGAAGAGGGATGTGTAGTAATTCAAGAGGGACAGGTCACAGTGGACTCCAGGAAGGAACAGATGTGAAAAGCTGAGGTGTGGTTAGATTTGGCAAACATCCTGGAGGTAGAACAAAATTGCTGGAATCACCGCATGTATAATATGAGCACTAAGGAGGAGTTGAGGCCTGATTCAGACAGCTGAAAACATGGAGAAACCATTACCTCAAAGAGACAACTGAGGGACTGGATTTTCTGTTTCCTTGTATAACACTCAACACCTTTCTAGTTCCATCTTTTTATTCTAGGTATTTGCTGCAGTGACCAGTTAGAGGTATCAGCTAGCTAGACGATGTCATGTCATCTCCTCGGGGATGATATGACAACAGCTTGCCTCTCTCACTCCTTGACATGCCATATTACAGACAATGTCACCATGGCTTGGAATATCTGTATGATTCAGCCCTCCAGTCACATGTGGTGATATGTGGTGAAATAGTGACCAGTGGCAGGGGAAGATAAACACTTCTCTTTTTTCACTTGTGTAGAATTGTAAGATACATCTCTAAGCTTCTCAGAAAGTACCACAAAATCATAGTTCACTATGATTTTGGATATGAAAGCCAGAGGGCCTCTGGGGCAGTGGAAGCTCTCTACAGACTATGCTGAAACCCAGCCCCAGTATTTAATCATAAAAGAAACAGAAGTTTAAGAAAACCTAATTGCATAGCCTGGGAATATCATCTATGTGCCCTAATGGAAAAGGAATGGGTCTTTGAAATCTAGAATGGGGACCCTGGGTAGACTTCACACTCTTAAACCCTCAGATTGTTTTCACTCTCAATGACAACAGTCTCTTCTCTCCTGAGAATGAAGAACAGACTTCTCATGTCTGGACATGTTGCAAAGAAAGTTGCTTCATAACATAACTTTATTTCCTTTGTGTCTGCTCCCCATTGTCTTGACTTCAAACCAAGCTACCCCAGCACAGCCTCTGTAAGAACTTGCAATTCTTGCTCTAGAAAAAACTATAGCAATGGTTTCGCACTTTGGACAATTGGGGCATTTGGGGATAGATAGC